AAACAAAAAAAACCAACAAAAAAACCAACCAAAAAACAAAAAAACCTATATTTAAACCCTTAATACTATTATCATTATCATTATCATTATCATTATTATCATTATTATCATTATTATCATTATCATTACTATATAATATATAATAATTATATAATAGATAAATATATATAATATTATATATGATATATAAAAGACTATAATACAATAATATTCTAATATTATAATATATTATAATGATATATAATATAATAATAGATGATTATTATTATTTTATAATAATATAATCATACGAAAATATATTAATATATAATATATTAATATAAATGTAATTATAAAATAATATATAATGTAATATGAAAAATAAAAATAAAATAAAATAATAATGATAATACTAATGATGATAATATTGATAGTGATAGTAATAATAATAATAATAATAATAATAATAATAATAATAATAATTTAAAGGAAATCTCTATTTTCACCTGCTTAGAATTTCACCAATGTTCAACCAGCTGGTCACAAACCTGTCTCCCAGTGTTTCTAAATGGAATATTCCTGTCATATTTCTGGAATTCCATCCAGTACAACTCCAAGGCCCAGCAAGCAGCAAACACCCAGGAATTTTCAAATAACAGCAGAGTTTTAATGTAGAAAATATTCTCATTTTGCCTTCCTCAGCCATAAATGCCCCGAGGGAAGCAGGAAAGCTCCTGGAGCAGGAGATGTTGTCCCTTGGAGCCAAGTCCTGTCCTGATAAGGCTTTGGAGATAAATCCAGGGCTGGAAACAATCCTTAAGTTTCCGTTTCAGTTTGACCTTATAAAATTCCCTGTTAAGAAATCCCGTTAATAATTATCCCCGTGTCACATCCAGAGCTGGGAGATGAGGAGAGGAGGAAATGGAACCTTTCAGGGTGAGAAAGGGCAGCTGGGGATTGATCCCAGCAGCTCCTGCAGGAGGATCCAGGAATAATCTGGATTTTCCCAATTTATCCAGGAATGATCTGGATTTTCCCAGCCCCTTCCAGAGCTGGGACAAGCCCTGCACACAAAGGGTTAAAAGGTGGAGTGGATTCACCATTTTCCTTCAGGAACTGAAATTTCTGTTGG